AAGACATAAAACATTTGGTTTGATCCAGTCATGGTAGTTAAGGAAACAGTTATGTTCAGGTCTTGAAAAGATTTGAATAAAGAGACTTTGGATATGTTGGCTATTTGAGACATTATTGGACAATCATTTTAGTTTATAGCTCTTGCAGATTCCATTGTGTTTTTCCAAAACTCATCTGATGAAGTCCTAAACTCGACTAATGTAGAATGTGTCTATTTGGAAGTCAGATTTGTAAAGAAGTAGCTAATTTAAACAGAACACACTAACACTAAGTACTTGACACCTCCAACTTAAAGAAGGGGCAGTTTATTTTGGCTCTTGGTTTTAGAGGGTTCTATCTGCAGTCAACCGTCTCCAAGCAGAAACATCATAGCCGATGAGTGTGGCAGAGCTAGTAATTAAAGTGAGTTCATTCCAAAGTTGGCTAGATTGAGGGTAGAAATAGCAGAGTGGAAAAGCATGGCAGAGGAAAGCTGCTGTCTGGAAAACAGCGAGGGAAGGGAAGAGCCACTGAGAAGAATATATCATTCCAGGTCACTCCAGAGTGACCTAAACTTTCCAAACAGGCGCACTTCTGAACAGCACCATCTGCTGTGAACTCGTCAACTAACTGATTCAAGGGTGAGAATAGAGTCTCCATCATCCAGTTTCCTTCCAAGAGTCCCACCTCTGAACAAGAGAATTTTCAGGGACAAACAATAATGCACAATAAAAAAAAGACAGTCTTCCTACTGGCTGTTGGTAGGAAATCTAGATATCTAGATGCAAAAGAATAAAGCTGTATCCCTCACATTGTACAAAAATTAACTCAAAGTAAAGATTTTAATGAAACTTGAAAGATACCATAGATATGTGCTGAAAGATACTGAAGATGATAAAGCTACTAGAAGAAAAAGCAGGAACACACTCCATGGTGTTAGTCTGGACAAAGCGTTGGGTTTTTTTTTGCTGTTGTTGTTGTTGCTTTAATAAAATCTAAAAGGCACAGACAACAAAAGCAAAAATGGATGGGATTACATCAAACTAAGAAGTTTCTGCACAGCACAGAAAGCTAATCAATAGAAACCCCGTTGAGTGGGGGAAAGATTTGCAAGTTGTGCATATGACACGGAGTTAATATCCAAAATATATAAATAAGTCTAATCAATAAAAAACAATAATAAAAGCAAATAATCCAGTTAAAAATAGATGAGAAAGCTGAATTGGCATTCTTAAAAGAGGACATGTACAGAGCCAGTAAGCACACAAAGAATGTCCACCAGGACTAATTAGTAAGGAAGTGTAAATGAAAACTACAATGAGATATATCGCTCACCCCAAGTAGAGTGATCACTATCCAAAAGACAACAACAGATGTTGGTGTGGGTGTGGAGAAAAGGGAGCTGTCATGCACGGCTGTTCAGAATGCAAATTAGAATAATCATTTGGGAAAACAGCAAGGAGTTTTCTTTAAAATTAAAAATAGAATTTTGCTATTATCTAGCAATCCTGGAGCTGGGTATTTATCTAAAGGGAATAAAACCAAGATGGTGAAGAGCGCTCTAGATTCTCATGTTCATGGCAGGACTATTCACAGTAGCCAGGCTATGGGTCAATGGACATGTCCATCCAAGACTGATGGGTAAAATGTGGTGCATAAACACAACGGGGTCCATCACGAAAGGGTTAAATCCCAACATTCGTTTCCCCATGGGTGAAACTATAGGATGCTTATGTTAAGTGAAGCAGCCCAGGTGCAGAGAGACCAGTACCATAAACTGCTGCTTTTGTGAAACCTAAATAAACTGATCTCATAGAGGAGAAAAAAGGTAGCAATGGTTACTAGAGGCTGCAGAATACAAGGGAGGTATAGAGAGAGATGATCAGTGGGTACAAAGTCAAAGGCAGAGAGGAACAATAAAGTCTGTGTTCTGTCACATGATAGACTGACTATGGTGAGCTTATGGATATTTCAGAATTAAGAGAAAGGATTTGAATATTCTCATCATGAAGAAAGGATATCTCTAGGAGGTAATGGATATGCTACAGAACATGTGACTATGTGACACATACATGTATCTAAACATGACATCATACTCCATATATATGTACAAGTATTATTATTCAATGAAAATTAAAAAGAAGATCATTAGTTGTTGCTATACAGAGTTTGAAAATGCCATTTCAAGGAACACTTTTATTAGAATACTGATGATAGACAACTGGATTCAGGAGATAAAACAAGAAATGATTGATAAATAGATGTTAGATAGATAAAATTAGATAGATAGATAGATGATAGATAGATAGACACACAGACAGACAGAAAGACAGAAAATGAATGCAATATCCTGTATTTCAAAGTCTGACTATTCAATAGTCATAGATAATCACTAGGGGAGGCAATAAAGCCATTGATGACTGATTTTATACACTTCATACATCTTTGGTTTGATGGAGAGAGGAAAGGTGGGAGTCCTGAAGGGTCTGTTCAGAAGACCCTGCAGAAGCAGGCACAGGGAGTAGCCACACAAATGTGACACCTGGAATATAGTGGAGATAAGATGCAAAAAGATGACAGAGAATTCTTCATTTACAGTTAGGTAAGGATGACTTATCCTCTACATAGTCTCAGAGCTTTACTCCCAACATTATCCCTCAGAAAAATGGTTGTTGTCCGACAGCTACCTCAGTATAGTGTCTCCCGTACAATGTACGGACTTCTGAGACAGACACATTTACTGGAAGCAACAATAGGAAATGGCTGATGTTGTGGCTCGGTAGTTATAGAGACGTGATCATAAATATACACCTTTAATATAAACAAGGAAAACAATGATTCTAATATTGTGTGAATGGGTACCTGTGACTTGGGTGAGACATCTGACCATAATATCACGCATGTGTTTAATATGGTCTGTTTTTCACACAACTTAGGAGGAAGAAAATGGATTTACTCATGAAAAAATTTAGGTGATTCAGAAACTTTCTAGTAATGTCTATGGCTCTCAGAGCTTCATGAAATAATTTGGAGTAAGTCCATAAATTCTGAATGGAAGCATAAGTTTGCATTACTATTACTAGTATTTCTAGCTCTCCATAAACAAATTAGTTCTATTTCTTAGTTCGTGTTTTATGTTATCACTGACCTGCATATGGTCCCTCTCTTTTCTATTTATTTGGGGTTTTTCCTCCATTTATACCTGTCATTCTTCTCCTATATTACTGATTATGTGATTTTGTATTACTTAATAAAGTAGGTATAGAAACTGTATTATCAATAAAATAGCATGTGTGACCATTTTTCTATGTCATTTATAGTAATAAAACTTTGAACATTCAACTTACAGAGAGCACTGGTACTTCAGTAGCAAAGTGGAACACTACCTTTAAGTTGAAATTCTTATATTTGCCATTTATGGTAATTTTAAAAAATAGTATTGTTTTTTTCTCCTTTTTAGATAAATCTATTCAAGAAATAATCGCATAACCCAAATATTAAATAATCAAAATGTATTCAGGAACTCACAAAAGCTTTGGAATGTTATAGACCTATGTCCAAAAGTGCTTTCCGAACTATCTACCTCCTAAGGAATATTTTTGTTAATTTAGAAAATTCTAAACAGCTCAGTTCTCTAGGAAATGTATAAAACCTTTCTTTCTGCTGCCTCTTTAGACTTCTATTATTGAGAAAATGTCTGGCTGATTTGAACAAGCATGCTATGTGAAATTGTAGATGCTTATCTTAATAGAACCCAAAATCTTTCATATAGATTCACCCCTCATTGCTCACAATAATGCCAAGTACTATAGTCCAGGCAGATATTTATTACTTTTTATATGAAAAGGCATTAGAGTGGGGCCATTTCTCAATGGAGCTGGGAAATAAAAGTTTTCTGAATTTCAGTCCCTTCTAGAGCACCATGTAATGAGCTCTTAGAAGACATCTCAGAGCTGCAATTCAAAATCCTGTTTAATCAGCCATGGCAAACTATGCACAGTCCCTGCAGAACTCTGAACGGAGTCGGGGCTCCTCCTCCTCCATCCAGCGCATTGCCAGGAAGGGCTTTCTGGTCAGGGTCCTCCATGAAAGCCCCCGAATACGGACAGCTGCCAAGCTGGGTCTCTGCGTGTCAGCACAGAGCAAAGAGCAGAATACAAATCATCAGCTTTGCTTTATGAATGTCTTTATTTACAATGCTGGAGTGGATTTTTTATAAAAGGGGACCACAGCATTTGCACTGTATCTGCCACTAACAGCTCCAATTTTGATTCCTGCCCTGTAAATGATCTTGCGGTCCCCATTTTTTTCAATTGCTACAAGGTTACCATCAATGTCAGAAAACGTAAACTTCAAGAATGCACTGTACGGGGTCTGGCAGGCGTGCGGAGAGGAAAGAATGTCCCTTAGAGAAAGGGGATAACAACATTCATCTAAACGAAGCTTATTGATTGATTGCTCAGAGGAAACTATACTTTCTTAGGCAATTTCAATTGAATTTTAACATAAATCTTACTACTAACCTTTTATTTTTCTTTGACTGACAGCATTCCCCAGCTCAGCTTATGGTGCATGTAAAGGATCCTTCAAGAGGAAGGATGTCTTTGTTAATTCCATTCAGGTCCCTAGAAAGTGAGCGATCCTCCGAGATGAATAGAAATCTCCCAATTTTGACAATGATCCTTCTCTGTTTGAGAACCGTAAAGCTCATACTGCAAAATCAGATGATGACAGGAGGGGCTTTGTTTGGTTATGTGGAATGTAACTGACTTCAGCAAGCCTGCCAAACTGGGGAAAATAATACATGAATTTATATTTATGTCAGGCTTGCAGTTGATGAGTAAGGTTCGTATAAAGGTTACTCCTAAGAAATGTCTATCATCTTCACTCTGTACTCCAGTGATTTCTGTGTCTTCCAAATACTGCCCTCTAGAACAATAAAATGATTCTAAAATGAGTAAAATATGATTTAATAGCCCATCAACTGCAGCATAATGATTATGCATCTCTTCTCTTATAGCTCCCCGCAGTAGGAGGACAACTGACATTTACCATCTCTTATGACCTTGAAGAGGAGGAGGAAGATACAGAAAATGTTCTTCAGCTGATGATTATCTTAGAGGTAGAGTACTGTGCACACCACTTTCAACCTTATTAGAGCTTTATATCATTTGAGGATACCTGAGTGGGTGTTTGACAATAATCTACACACTAAGAAAAGAAAAATACTCCTTGGAATCTTTTAAGCCACCACCATGTTTCACTCTTAGTTATATCTAGAAAACTATGTATATTAATGAGCTTCTAATGATAAAGAAGATCCTTATAGTAGGCCTGAAAGTTAAAGTTAATGCATGATGATCACGTCTCCAATAAGCATGATCAAAATGTGTCACTGGATGCTGATGTATATATATATATATATATTTAAATTTTGTTTTTGGTACCAGGAATAGAACTCAGGACTTTACGCTTGCCAGGCAGGCACTTGTGCCGCTGAGCTGTATCCCTGGCCCCAGATGCTGATTTATAGAGCTGTTCTCTTTTTCTGTCTCCCTTTGTTCCCACATAGTTTTATCATCTCCTTCTTTGGCAGAAGTAGATCAGAAATGGAACTTGTTCACTTAGTTAAATCTTGACTTCAGAGTTCTAATTTAGGTAAGGAAGATACTTGGGAGAAACTACACTCTGAATTTCCAAAATGCTAAAAGCCCAAAGCCATCTGGAAGGCTCTCTGCCACCCTCCCTTACACCTTCTCCTTGTAGTGATGCATGTCCTCCTCAGACAGTCACGCGTATTCACAGGCATGCACACATGTGCACGTTAATACTTCTAAATAGGGAAATGTTGACAGCACTAGGTTCGTTGTCCTTTGGAACATTTCATGCACTTGAATCAATGACAATATCCTTTTCTCATAATGAATATTTTCCAGAATTGGATGAAGTGGTCTAGAATAGATAGATATAGATAGCAATATAGATACAGAGGTATGTACATATTCACACAAATATGTACATATATCTAAATATATGTACAGAAATATCTATGTTTATATCTTGAAAAATTATAAAGCATTACTATGAATTAAATAAGAACTTCAAATGTCATAGTTCAAGCTCTACACCCCTTCTGATACTATTATCCCATTTTAAACATTAGATTACAGAACCTTTTCTTGTTTTTTTCTCAACATATAGTCCTTTAAAATCATCGCTTAATTATATTTTCCTTCCTGTTGTCTTTTAAAACCCACACCCACAATAAAATATTTGAAATCTATACCTTTGTATGTTATGTAAAATTAATCCCATGTGTGTACATGCACTGCCAAGTAAGTATACCTGTGGTTAATGTGAGAAGAAAGTTCATCCAAAAACAAGAAGCTTATACTTTCTAGTGCACCTGGAGAGGCTACTATTTAGATTGCATTGCTTTCTTTTCCTGTGCTCCAGAAATATACTGAATGACCGAGAAGTCCCCCTGAAATGAAAAACCTCCCAAAAATAATTCATAGGGTGAAGATCCAAATATAGATCTATTCTGTTCCACTCTGTTCTATTCTGTTCTGTTCTATTCCATTCCATTCCATTCCATTCCATTCCATCCCATCCCATTCCATTCCATTCTGTTCTACCTTTTGGGGCTCTCTGCAGTTTCACCTTTATACACTTTCTTCCTTTCAGGGAAATGACTTGAGAATAAGCACAGCCCAAGAGGAGGTGTATCTACAACCATCTGAAGAATATATCTATGCCTTATCACTTAAAGAAGACTCATTTACTATACATGGCACAAATTTCCCAGTCAGTAGAAAAGACTTCATGACAGTGCTGGCAAATCTGAAGAGAGTCCTTGTACAAATCACTTACAGCTTTGGGATGGATGCCATCTTCAGGTAAAGTCAGGAACTGCATTTATCAAAGTTCGTTCATTTATCTTGGGGCAAATAATGCCTGTGCCCGACGAGGGAATTTTAAAGTGTCTAGGTGTACTGCGTCAAATGGAAAATTACATAAGCACTGGTTTTCTGAAAGGTGTTTCAGTTAAAACTATCAAAATGTTAAATACTCAGAATAAATATGTCTCAGATCTTATTATTCTTAATAATTCCTTTGCAGTTCCATGAAAGAATGGGATAAATAATGAGTCTCGTATTGAGAAATGCTATCCTGGAAAATAAATTCCTTTTTATAATGGCTCAGATAGTTGAAAATTAAAGAGATATAATTTCAGGGTAGCTGTTCAGCAAGTGGTATGTAAAATATTTTCTCTCTTTAATTAGTTTCTGGTTTAAGGTATAGTACATGGATTCTAATAAGAATTTTAAGCCTCATCATTTAGATAACCACACATCACTTTACAAAATTTTGTGAGATTACAATGGCTAAAGAATGTAAAGACAAACTGTGGGCTTTGGAGCCCAATTGAATATGAATTCAGTGAGCTGTGTCTCTTATTTTCTGTGTGACCTTTGACAGGTAATTGGTGGGTGTCAAACTTTGACTTTAAGTATAATGTACAATAGTAATGCATAGTTTTCAAGATTGTTTTGAGAATTCTATGTGATAATTATAAAATGTGTTCATTACCTACCATACTTTCAAAGGTTAATTTCTTCTATATTATTTTTCCTTGAAAAAGAGAATTCTCTGACTTGAACCAAACTTGTCCATATCAGTCTGTAGGCTGTTAAATTTCCCAGTTTTAAAGCAGTGACATTTTGTTGGACAAAATGCTAATTTTATAACTGAATGATTTTCCATCTCGTTTTACCCAAATGATAAATAGCAAAATATATCATGGCAACTTCCTTTTAAAATCACACTAAGTTAGATACTCAAGTGTTTGATCCCACACTAACACTGGTATACCCTTAACGAAAGCAATATCTCTGGTATTGAATTTTTTCTCGTAGACCCCCACATTATTTGCTTGTTCTGCCTAGTTTATCTTTCACTTGTAATATTTCAATAAAGTGCAATCATCATTAACATTTCCCAGAGGAAGAAACTCTAGGTTCATAAATAAAACCGTTGCCAAATAACATACCTCTTTTGCATAGGCAATTCTGTTAGAAACTGGGTTAAAGTGCTGTAAGGATAAGAAGCAGTACTTAGGAATTAATTATGTTTTTCCCATTTAGTAAATAGAGACTGTCACAATGTTTCAACAGTACAAAGAGGTGAGTCCTCCTGCTTTCAAAATAAATGACAACGGAATTGACAAAACGTGGCCAAGGGGCTGATTTATTTTTGTCAGGATTGCTTCTCAGGCTAGTTAATCCAAAGACACTTCCCTTTGATTTATGTCAAATCATTTCAGTGTCTGCTCCTCTTAAAATCATTGGCTTTATTGGAAGCTTTCTGAAGTTTCCTCATACATGAAGGATGCATTCACGGATCATAAGTATGTGAACAAAACACATACAGGAGCTGGCTCAAGTAGGTGGCTGGTTTCTTCCACCTCCATCACCAAAGCACTGTAGTTCAAGAAGTAAAAGACAGTGTCGGATTTGAAGCTCTGCCCCAGTTCAGGTGAGCTGAAAATCAGCGTGAAACCTGAGCCAGTAAGCTTGTTATATTTTATTTATCTCTCATCTGGTAGTAGATAGAGTCATATTTGTAAAACAGCACGAATTGATTTCAGCTTGTTTTGCACAGTAGGCTCTTGACTTGGTATACTGTTTGTGTGCAAACACCAGGAAATTGAAGCTATCGCAACAAAAACTCATGTTTATCTTTATTTAGGGGCAATTTACTTCCATGGTAGTTCTCTCGGCAAATGGCACAGGGAGCTTGGCCAGTTCTGTGGGTAGGTGCAATTGCAAAGGAGAAGGAAAACCAGATTTTGATTTTTTTTCCAACTCAGCTCTTCAGTAGTTGTAAATAGAAGTATGACTTTGACCTCTTTGTAGTTCAGTAACTTCTCCTCTAAAAATAAAGATGACATTTGCCCTGCCAATTTCAACAGGTCATTGTAAGAACTGAATTAGCTGCTAAAGCACTTAGCAAATGGCAAATTAGCAAGCAAATCTGAAGTATTTCTATCTGTGCTACCTCCTACCAAGGGATAATATTTTCTCCAAGTACCATACTACTTGGAGATATCCCGAATAAGGCACATATTGCTATTTGCACAATTCTGGCAGTTCTTCTGTCGTTATTTTCCAGAATACTGATGACCCATTCAATGAAATTAGTTGATTTCCATCCCAGTGTCTCCTCTAGTAAGAAGGAAGTTTTCCATTATTTTTTTAAGAATATAAGAGAAATCAACTTAACCTAGCTCTGTAAACATTTTTCCATTCTACAGTAGATATTATTAAAGTTCACCAAATTTCTAATCTCCATTGAAACTATTGCATCTGCTTACCCTCTCGGGTAAATGTGACCCTACCACTTGGTTACCCAGTGAAATGTGTACAAAATCAATGTCTATTTTGTTTTTCCTAGGGAGGAACATTAAAATTTTCCAGCATGCAGCACTCTTGAGCTTATTCGCCAACTGGAAGATCAAACAACCTGGAGTACTGACAGCTCATGGAGGTCAGCTGCCCTGGTTGTTTTGATCTTCTGGTTGCTGAACAAAGGCTTATCTTGTAAAGTCCTCTACAGGCCTGAATTACCTCTTGGAATCTGGAGTTGATATCACAGCATAACTGAACTCATCCTGACTTTACCATGACACTCTTCGTGTCTTTATTGTTTGAAAATACAGAATATTTTAAAGGCAAAATCTTTTCGCATGACTTTTAGAGTAGCTTTAGGGTTTTATATTGAAAATTGATAGAATTTATATCATAAATAATCTAGAAAAATTTTTGTAAATAAAAGCAATTTGGATTATAGAAATAATATTTGTAGGTACATAGTATGCTTGTACCTTTAAAATTAATAATCCAGACATCCACGCTTTGAAGAATTTCTTCGGATAAGGACCCTAGGATTTAACAAAATATACACAACTCACTTGGCATTGAGGTGTTGGTGAAAGAAACAGCTGCCTTCAGGTGTTTTTCCCCCTTACCTTTGACTGCTTCCCAATACTGTCCAGTGAATTTTGGATTCATTCAGTCTGCAAACATTTACTGAGCGTCTCCCATGTATATCCATGTAAGTCTCAGGTTTTTCTTCTATAAAAAGACAGCAAAATAAAGTCTAACATTCAAGATTAAACATGATGTGAAAAAACAATGTTAAAAAATGACATCTACAGCCAAAACAGTGTCTACCATATGCTGAGAGGCAGTGTAGGGTAAGAAGATGATCACTGGTTTTGGAGCCATACTTTGGTTTGTTTTTTTCTTTCTTTTTTTTTTTTTTTTCCGGTACCGAGAATCAAACTCACGACCTTGCACTTGCCAGGCAAGCACTGTGCCACTGAGCTAAATCCCCAGCCCCCATACTTTGGTTTGAATACGGGCTGCACAGTGAAACTAAACTTTATTGTAACTACAGTCAACTCTTTGTACAAGGCACTGTACTATGCTGAGTTTAAGATTCTTCATTTGTAAGTATGGGTACAAATTTGATTTTTATAGAGTTTGTAGATACTTAGCGGGATGATCTTTCAAGCATCCATTATATTACGCAGCAGAGAGTAGCAACAGATATTAGTATGTGTTTGTTCTGGGCTAAATAATGAGGACACAAGGATGGATAAAATTATTATTGAATTCAAAGACAGTATAGTCCTAAAAGCAAGGCAGGTACATATATTAACGGTGATACAAAACTTGTACAACAGAACTGTATTCCGTGCATGCTGTTAGGGCAAAGGAGGAAGCACTGGATTCTTATGTTATCATTTGTATTATTTTTGAGAAATGGCTGCAATAGTATGAGATTGTACCACTTACTTCCCTCATTGATGTGGGGTTTGATATGTTTACAGAGGATGTTTGCACTTCCCTTGATGGTCCCTCAGGCACTGGCTGCCCCATGGAACAGTTCTGTTACCTCTTTAGGAAAGGAATAAAAATCATCAGGCTCCTCTAATTGAGTGGTATTTTGCAGAATTTCTACAATACAGAGCTGTAAGAAGTTCTGAATCACCTTCTTGGGTTTTGACAAAAACAAAGCACTTTAACAACAATAAAGTCTTTATAGTAGTTAACCCAAGGAAATGTTCTTTGAAGTGGAGCAAAATGGAAGTCTTCAAACTAAAAAAGAAGATAGGTTTAAAAGACAACAACAAAAAACATAAAACCACACAATTACTTAAAACAAAACACTGATGCTTGATTTTTATTTTGAAGCAGAATTCTATGGGGGGTAATGTTGTTTTCATGTTAATATAGCATGTATAATTGTGGTGGGAAATATAGTAAAACAAAAATATATTAATACAGCACCAGGGTAATGTTTCTGATATGATTTCAGTGTTTTCCATAGTAGTTTATGTAATTACATCTTTTCTAGTCATCCATCATCTTAGCTGCAGTTTCGAGTCATAATAATGAGAGAAAGTCAGCTAAAGAACTTGACTTAGCTGACACGTCTTTGAAAGTTCATGCTTTTCCAAAATTTAGTACTACATTTCTGCCCACATTTATATTTAAATGAGTGCAGACTGGTAGTGAGAAAAGAAGATGACCATAATGATGGGAAAGAAATAAACTGCAGCTTTCTTCATGAGTAACACTTAAAACTGTTAAACACATTAAAATCCCATTTAACAAACAGCAGACCCTAATGAACATTGGGTTTGTTCAGTGAATGCTAAATGGAATATTACTGGGAAAGACGTCTGGGTGTTGAAATTTCTCACAACTCACAATGGTTACACAGATTAAGGAGGGGAACATCTGTTCAAAAGACAGATGAAATTTAGCAGTTCACTGAAAATAGTTTTACTTTTGTATCTTTATTTTTAAAGCTGTTCCTTAAAGTAGCCTGTTGCTCATTGTCTACCTTGAAACTTCCAGCACATTTCCTTTAAATTTTATATATCAATTTTATATTGGAAATCCTGGGACTTTATTATGTATTTATCAACTTACTATTTAATAAACTGTGACAATCTCTTGTATAATAATCAACTAATACATCAGCAGAAAAATAATCCAAATATACAATTAACGATCAGAATTAGATGTTGTACCTTTGACAGTCCAGTACTTCAAGGTAGTTGGATATCATGATAAATTCAGGTGAATCCAAACCTCTGGCTTTGAGTTCTAGCCACAGCACTTTTTTCCATTTGTTTTCTGTGTCAAATTAAATAAGCAATTTATCTCATCAGACTTTATTTATCTAAAAATTTGATTGTAGCTTTTATTTTATCATCTGCCATAGTTATTTAAGATCACTATATTCCATTCATGCATTCATTCATGTAATCACTTAATTAGTTAGTTTTTCATTTAAATGTGTATCCATCCATCAGTCCCTCCATCTGTCTGTCCACCCATCCATTCATTCATCCACAAAAATGTTCTGTGAGTGAATTGTGATGGTTATGCTCATACACAGATGTCATGACACAGTCTCTGTTCCAAAGGAACAGCTCAGAATGTGTGTCCAAGCAAGTACACACTATATTTAGTGTCTCTTCTGGACTCTGTTGGATTCAGAAGACTTTTAAGACCTTGAAATTCTACTCCCAGGTATATAATCTAAAGATTTTAAAATAGATTCTCTCTCTCTCTCTCTCTCTCTCTCT